ATACTATGGTTATGACAAACAGACTTCTCCGAGTTAACTGATTTATTATATTCGAGACAATGGAAACGTTACGCTACGGCATAGTTGCAAATTTAGGTTTTTAGCACGGAACAACGAAGCGCACTTATCGAATGACGTAGTCGTTATAAAGTGATAAGGCCAGTTGTTTGCTAATGTTCGCGAGGCGTACCAGACTATGATAAAGATTAGCTTATCTCTCAACTACGAACCATAAGGAGGTCTCTGTTCATTTGCCAGCACTATGTCAATATTATTTCGCTGACCGCCGTTCTCAAACGAACGCGATTTCTAAACTGCAGCTTTATTCGCAGCTCTCGCGTATCGTATTTCTGATAGAAAAAAAATCACAATTGCGTTGTAAGAAGCTTCTTTAGAGATGACAATTGAAAGAGAAAAAGTTGTCAATAACTCTATGGGAAAAATTATTACTACTTTATAGCTTAAATAAATGAAGTAAATGAAACAGTAGCAAAATTTCATTTTTTTTTTTTAGAAATAATATTTAAATTAAAATTTTAAAGAAATTTAAATAAAAAATTTCTTAAAAAAAAAATATTATTGAAGCTATTCTTGTATAGGAAGTTTTAATTGACAAATGGCGATTATTTTATTTTCGAGGAGCGCAGTAGGATTTTTTTAACGTACAGAAATTTTAGAGCCTGACGTGTGCATCTTTGCTTCTCGCGGCCAAGACGAGATTAGATTTTGCTCGATTATTTGCAAATGTTTTGGTGCAAGAATCTCAAGTCGGCTATTCGCGTATTCGCCTTGTTGTGAAAATAGAAAGATGAAACTCAAAGCCGTTGTATGTACCGTTCGCCAAAGTTGCCATTACTTTTTATCTGGCACGGTTTTTATCATAAAGGTCAAACAAATTCGAGTAGCCAATTCATATCTGCCGTGGCTGTCTTTTCTGAAACTGCCGTTGGCCATAAATGTTGCATGAGTGCCCAAAGCGACTGGCATTAATATGTAAGCGTCATGCGAAAGAAAGAGACGCAGATATGCTCATTTTACAATATATGTAGTAAACGCTATTAATTTTATTATAATAAAATAATAGCATAATTATTTAACATAATTATTTAACAAATATATAATAATTATTATAATAATTATCGTCAGATACAATAATAACGAAATTAAATAAAAGACACATTATGTTACAACAGCCAACTGTTTTATATTCATACGTTATTTCTTTTTTCACAATATTTCTTTTTTTTCTAATAAATGATATAAGAAAAGATAAAATATCAATGTAATTAAAACTTTAGAACAAGAACTTAAAATAATATCCATCTACTTTAAAAAAGGAGAAAATACACATCTCTATATTAATTTTACATGTAATGTCATAAATAATCTGGTTACAAAAGTTTTATGCCATACAGAGGCACTTTCAATATAAAAGTATTTTATATTTATAAAAGTTATATAAAAGTTACATACACACACACACACATAATTTTAAGAATGTGATATTCTTTTGACGATCTCTCATAAATAAAATCTAGAACTTTAAGAATAAGAAATAAACTATCATCTATTATATATATTTTCTCTAATTAAAAAATAGTTTAAAATTACTAGTGCTTTGAGTTTCTAAGCATTATATGTAGATACGTGGTATTATTTAACATATATGATATCCTAATATAATATAAGCAAAGCGATTCAATATAAGTGCAAATCACATCGGGGAACCTTGAATCCTCGAAAGACGAGGCCGTTCTTCTCTCTCCTTGGTGCATCAAACATTCATAATCAATTACGAGTGACGCATTAGAGCCCGGCCTCGACGATAAAATATTTCCGCTGGCTAGTCTTTCGGCTTCTATTAATCGCGAAGGCACAAAATATAATATTACGAAGTAAAAATAATTCTTTTAGACAACTCTCTTAATTCTAAAAAGAGAGAATCTGATAATATAATAATAATGAAATTAAGCAGCGCAATATGATAAATTGCCTTCTTATGGAAAAGAAATTAAAGTGAATTTAAAAAAATAAATTTGCAAGAGAATATATTATGGAATTACGTGACATTTTTTTAGATATCCTGTATATTCATTTCCGCGTTAATTAAACGCTATCTATAATTGAGTTTATTTTGATTATTAATAAGTAATAATTTTCTTAATAAATTTACACTGTATATTTCTTTTTGTTTGACGACCGGCTGACGCCGATTTGTTTAATCGGTTTAAGCGGACGCACCGTGATGTATTATATGTGTAATAATTAGAGAGTCTAGACTATCTCACAGATGATGAAATAACGCTCTCGAAATCGCGTCTCTATCCAGTTCGTGTCTTTCTATTTGTATGGCCGTAGGTCTCTGTTATGGTATAGAAAGACTAGAACCATTTTGACCGTCTGGGACCTCTAACGGTATCATTAAAAGATGCGTCACGAATCGAATATTCACGCTACTTTTGGCGTATCAACTAATGCGCGATTTATCCGTCGTTACATTTCGCTTAATCTATTTCTGTCTCTTTCCCGTCTCGCGTCAACATTTTTCTTTCTATTAAATATAATTGAAATAGGAAGCTCTAGAAATAAACGGTTTCAAACAATTAAAGAAAAAACCGTGTTAAATCTTACGTTTGTCTATCTTTCGTTGCAATTTCCCGAACGATGTGATTGGATTCGTGTATTTATGATAAGAATTCTTATCATAAGGTAATGTTAATTTCAAAGAATTCAATATTTTGCAGATTAACTGCGCCGATTGTTTTAAGCCTTTTGAAGAGATTCATCTGTTACAAACTGGCATTTCGAGGTTGACATTGTCAAAATTAATGCAATAATCGTTTAACCTTTGAACTTTCGAGCGATGATGTATAGCGTGGCTATGCGTGTATAGTCATCATATTTCTCGATGATTATTCGTCGATGTGTGCAATACACGAAGGATGATTAAATAAATGTGACATTTGCTGTAAAAAGGAATCTATCAACGATGATCTATCCGAGTGTCATAATCGCTGCTAGAACGTTCGCGTATAAATATATCCGTCATATATTCGTCGTGACCGTCTGCAACCTCTAACGGTGATAGCAAAAAAAGCCAGACAAATGTCCTTGAGTGCTTAGTGCGTACTTGAATGTCTGCTAGAAGCGGCGATACGACTGCTCGTATAATAGTATAACCAGCCTAACACACAAGTATACCCGAGAGAGATTTATATCTATAAAGCTAGATGCTCGAGATACAATTTTCGTAACAATGTAGCACGTAAGCTCCATATTTGGAGATTATTAATTTCTGTTATGTATATAGTAGCACGCATGCGCGCTGATACGAATCGAACTTTATAATTAAAGTTTAAATTAATTGTACATAAATAATTTTATATTTATTCAATAAAGTAATTATCTACGGTAACATGTAATAACACTGCTTATCTGACGTTCTAAGAGCTTATCTATCTAATATTTTTATCTTTCGAATCTCTGATTGCGATGTTTGTGAAATATTAAAATAATTCTAACACACAAGATTGCATTAATTACACTTTCTCTTTCATAAGATATGGATTTCTCTCTTACGCACAGTTGTGCTCATCGACTTGTGACCTAATGCTTTTCTCTAGAAATTAGAACACACTCGTTGGATTTCGTAGGCATGTGTGTCTATACGGTTTTCTAAAAAATTCGGTGTGCAACATTCGGCTTATATATCGATTCACGCGAAAGGTGAAAGGCTCGGGTATATGGAACGGAAGACGATCAGAACTCGTGACACTCTCGTAGATCGCGTAGGTCTATCGATGTGAATATTCAATAGGCTTCACGGACACGTAAAAATAAAAACGATACACGTATTAAAAATTTTGTAAAATTAAAATTCTTCATATTAAAAAAAGTAGCCATTCCCTGTCGTCAAATTTTCGTCAATTCTAACTCACCGAATGTAATTTTTGCTCACGTGTAGACGACCCAGTCTAATTTAGCGGGAGATTGTAATTTGTGAAAATGTATACGAGGAATATATGCAACTGGTTTCATTCAGCTCATCTAGAATATACGCATATCCCGACATATGCCGCGTAATATTCGTGTTTTTGACTACCATCCGCAAAGTACCGAGCCAAGTCTCCGCAATGATACCTGCTTCGCTTTGGCTAACGTGACGACCGGTGTGTGTAGCGATCTAACAGAAAAGGAACGGCGAAACGCAGCGCAAGAGCAATGCCCCTTGGGTCAGGTTCAGTACCCTTTGGCACAAGGCAACTCTCGGAGAACGACGTAACCGACGGCGTGCATCTGCGTGCGTGTTGGTGAACGCGTACACACGTTAGCGAGGCTAACATCTACTTGCGCACGTTGCGAGAATGGCTTTTCGCGAGTGACGCGTGATAGATAAAAACTCAACGAGACGTTCGTTCGCCTCGTTTCGTAAATTAGGATAGCTTAGCCGCGTTAAATCTTACCGTATCTCGCCGAGCGTATCATCGAAAAGTCCGCCCTCGTTGTTTGCGATCGTTCTTCCCAGCGACGTGTTGCGGAATAACTTTTTCGGATTTACGATGCCACCAACTATTTCATTATGCTAAATATAAATATCGATTTTTATGGCAACATAAATTTAAAAAAATTAATTATTTTTAAATCCAGGGTATTTTACGTAAATAATTATGCTGTCGACAACTTAATTTCCTTAAATATTTGCATTTAATGATCGATACAAAAAATGTTTCTTCCTATTGTTTATACATTCTTGATATATATTGACAAGATTTTTATATAATATTTTTATATTTATATTTATATATAAAATATATATATATATATAAAATAATAAATATATATGTATATAAACAATAAGAGAGCAAAAAATTTACTATATCAGAGTCATAGATTTATTTTTGCAAATATGGGAAAAGTTAAATTTTATAATCGTGTATATATTATTGCACTTTTTATTTTCGCAACTTTTGCACATACCTTAACGTCTCTTTACGTTTCAGTTGGTGGATAGCTTGGATGCTCCCCGATATATATGCGAAACGGAGGTGATGGAAGACGTAAATGTCGCCCCGGCAGCGGCGATGATGGAGTACACTACTTCTGGTAACCATACTAGCAAAAATGCGAACGGAAACATCATCACCCTTACGCTCAAGAATAATCATCTTATCGTAGAAACGGAGGAACGTGCGGTACGTGTATGTCCTTGGAAAAGAAATATCGGACACGTTTTATCATTGCAACTGAAAACAATCTATTCCTGGAGTCTTCCTCTTTCACAAACGACTGATATTTATTCTAATTAGCGCGATGCAAAAGCGATACTCCGTTGACGAGGCTCGCATAACCGGGTCGGGGACTCGCTCGTTTTGAGATGGGAAGCGGATTCGTAATTATCGAACTTGGCCGACCCTGTAAGGTCGGAGGTTACCGGGCAATTTTGCCCCCTCTTATCGTCCTACTTAAAGCCTCGTCTTGTTCGCGGAGGCTCGTTCCCCTCGTTCGAGGATCCTCGAAATCTTTCTCCGGATCGCTCGCCTTCATCTACGCCTCGTTTTCTCTTTCTCTCTTTAGCTAGTGCATGTTCCTTCTATTCTCGTTCCCTCTTTCTCTCTCTCTCTCTCTCTCAATTTCATCCGCCTTTTCATTTTCCGATCACTCTACTCGCGCTCTCATTTAATTCATTCTTCTCGCGCACGTACGTACCTGTACAAAGTGCTCCAACTTTCGAACAAGGAAGAGGCGTGGAGCCGACTCGTGTCCGTAATTCGAGAGCCCACGCTAAAACAAAAAAAGAAATGGAATGGTTAGATACATTATACGAGTTTCCGTGGGAGAATTTGAAACGTTTGACCAGAGTGATAAGTTTCAAACTTAATATCGGTTTCAAGCTTAGTTTTAAAACAATTCGCATGGCACTTTATTTCTTTTACTACTGAAGCATTTTAATTTAATTTTATTATTATTAATTAATAATTTCGCATCAGTTAAATCATTTTTATTATTTCATACATGTTACTTTCGTTACCATGTTAACTCTTATTCTTTGTATAAAATTTCAAGACTTATTGTTTAACAGAATCTTATTTTAATAACAAGTTGGAAATTTAATGTTAAAAAAAAATTAAATTATTCTTTTCGTTTAAAAAGAATACGAATTATTTAAAATACAATACTATTCCTAACAGAGATAATATTGGAGAAAACGCTACATTTTATAATTCGCATTACTTACGACGATATTCGCTTTCAGGTAACAATGGAAGAGAAGCCCACATCGAGATACAAAGATAGCGGATGCTCATTCGTGGTGGAGGTACAGCCGGATTATGATAGGGAAGAGACGGAAGGTACCAAAGGATCTTCCGACGACATGACGGCCGGTATCACCGATCAACAGGCTCTGGTACACAGAGAGGAAATACCAGACGATAGATCTTCAGGTAATTGTCCTCGCGATACACGCGATATCTCGCCTTCTAATTATCCCACTTTTATCTCGCGGTTTCGCAGGTTTCGAAAATACGCGATTGTTCGGAAGCACCAATACTGGCCTGTCGCAATCAGATCTTTCGATATCCAGCCAAGGCTCGGCCAATCCCAGCTACCGCTATGGAAATCAGGTCGAATACGATTCTGGTAATCTCGGTTATCCTATGTACGGCGGTAGTTACGAGTCCGATATAATATCGAGGAAGCTGGAGGGACGATCCAAATGGGTGGAATTCGATAAATCGCCGGATATAGAGAAGATACTGTTGGATGATTCCAGAAATTTGACCAGTGAGGAGGATGAAGACAAGAGTGTAAGTATTATAGAAGGCAAGAGTGTAAGTATTATAGAGATTGTTGATCGATTCTCTGAATCGTCTTTTGTATTTTTTATTTCAATTCTCGTATAAAATTGCAAACAAACAAAATAAACCCAATGTATATTGGTGACAAAAGAAAATAATAAAATTCTCTTGTTCTCTCAATTATAATTTTTTTCATAAATAATAATTAGTTGATAATTCTGTTAACATAGAATGAATCGGAAGAGAGGAAGAAATATCGATATTAATTCATATTTATAACACATTCATCAAATTTCAAAACCGGAACATGTTAAGCTCAATTTTTCTGTGCTTGAAAAAAAAAAGAATATATGCTTTTATATGTATATGTATCGATCGACGAAAGTCTCTCGGAAGACGAAAACTGTTCGTCCGCTTGCAGCCGCAGTTTTTCGGAAAATCAAAAAACGTGTCGTCCCTGCAAGACGTCGTGAGCGCAGCGATACGCGAGGGCACGTTGGAGATTGACAGTCTACCGGACGCCGTGCGATCGAATCCGAATCTTCAGGTGAACGGCACGACGCCCAACAAACTGGAGATTATGGAGCAGAAGGCTTTGAGCAACGACTTCTCCAAGACGGAGGGCAACAAGCCCGTGATAACCGGCGCCCTGCTGAAGGACGACGTGCAGGAGGATGCGTTCCAGGAGCAGCAGCGTAAATTGGGCAACGGCACGCTAACGCCCGAGCACAAGGGGGACAACAGGACGACGGATCGCAAACCGGAAGGTAGCGTCTTCGTGCCGAGTCACAAGCGGGCGGGCAGCATCCCGCCCCGATTGATCGAGGAGACGCTCGAGATGGATCGTAAGAAGTCGCTCGACATCTATAACAAGTACAGTCAAATCAAAACTAGTACTAGAGGCATGCTGCCGAGCTTGAGTCCAAAGTTCGAGTTGCTGCAAAACGAGGTGAGCCCGATCGAGGAAAAGGAGAGTTAATGGACGTACGAGAAAGGGAAGATGAGGAGGAAGGTGGGAGGGATCGTCTTTGACACGGTCATCGGAATGTCCAACGTCCTCGGAGGTAAATTGCAACGAAAGATAGTCAGGGATTATTGAAGAAAATGCAGCGAATGCGATCACTTGTACGGCGAATATAGTGCACTTTACGTAGGAATTATATTACTGGTATAGCGAATTTGTAATATGTAAAGGAAACTTTTTCTCTCTCGCTCTCTTTCTCTCTCTTGTATCGTGATGGTCGCGTAGAGATCATAATGATCTCTAAGCCGACTAAATGAGTACCTAGCTACGTAAATCTCATGCGACGAGGAAGATTCAATGCGAGAGAGATTTTAGCGTTTTATTAACATATAACCGATTTAACCGAGGAAGAAAGGACGCGCTAAACGCTCTCTGCCTCCGCGGCAGACTTCTTTCTATTCAGTATTTTCAAAGATCCGTGTGATCAATTATAACTCGTTTCTCTTTTGTGAACATAACGGGAGATGTATAACACATGAACGGACATGCGATGGTATTCTTTTATTATAGTTTAGAAAATCGCTTCTTTCGTTTAAGATAGGACAATTTAAGGTGACGCTCTCTCGACACTTTTTATATGGACCATGCTATTTAGTCTGCACCGATGGAGAATCTTCTCTCGACCGAAACAAGTGATAATGATCAACGTGGCAGTAAGTAAAGTCGATCACGAGTGTAATCAAAAAACATTAATAGTAAAAGGAATAAGAGGATCTTCTTTTCATCGATTTCACGTAGACATACAAATTATCGCTAGTGATAATGATGTAGTAACCATATATTTCGCGAGATCAATATTATCAATATAATTAGAAACTATACATAAGCGACGCTCACACAACTTTTTTTCTAATTCCTGTTTTTTTGTTCAAGATATATAATTTGTATTTTTGCATTTGCAAAAATCTTTTGACATTTCTTAATCTTCCAAATATTCAATGCTAAAATATATCATTATTTAAATCGATCTGTTTTAATTTATTCGTAAATTATTCGTAATATTTTGCATGAAAACATAATTAAAGTTATTTTGATTTTAAGAATATCTATATGGAAAAATTTATCTTAAAAATATTTAGAAAAAATTTTGAATATGGATAAGTCGCTTTTTTTCTCAACGTTCGTCTAATTTAAAAATATAATAAATTTTTTTCCATATAAAATTTATGCTGAAATTTGAATTTGTAGTTTCCTAATCATCCTTGATCCAAGATTAATCGCTCGAACATCACCATCATAATATTATAGGTATATCGTAGTAAATCTTTTAGAATATAAGACATTTCTAAACAGTCATATATTAGTAGATAAGTCAGTATACATATACGTGCGTCGAATGTATATACATATATAGGATTTCACACGCAATATAAGACAAGCACGTCGTACATATATAGACACGTATAAACGCGCGCACAATATTAAGCATTTTTTATTAGCTTTATAGGCGTTTCAGCGGATGTCGAATCGACGCTTAAAACTTAACGATTACGTGGATTCTAGTGCCAAAGTAGTTTTCTAAGGCGTCTCTCGCTGTGGCGATTCGCGCGAGAGAGAAAAGAAAAGAGAATCGTTTGTCTGTGTATAACTACGTTTCGAGGGAAACATTATGTTATTAATATTTCAGATTTTATATGCCTACGTTGAATATTATAAATGTTATCGAAGATGTTGGCTTTGTGAAGTTCCGTGCCGTGAAAAGTTTTACGACACGAAACTGAATATCCTTAATCTGTATATATTCGGAAAGAGTCCTTTGTGTCAAATAATTCATCTTCACAAATATTAACGTACCGCTACGTATTCCTACTATCGTTATTATTGAAACTTTGACTCCATAAGTAAAGAAATTCAAATGATTTGTTTCGATACACAAATCATTCGTGCGTCGCAAATTAGGGTTGCACGAGATACCAAGATTAGTCTTGATATTATCTTGTCCTAACTCGAAATTCGAGACAAAATCAAGACAAGATTTTTAATTAATCAAGATATTAAAATTATTATAAAAATTATTATTTGGTCTTGTCAAGATTATTAATTTAAAAAAAACTAAAATATCTATGTCAAGTAATTAGTAAATTAAATGAGAAAAAATCATATATTATATATACAAACTTGAAAGATTTTCTTTAATAAATAAAAACATTTATTAAAAAAAATAAATTTAGTAACAATTAATAAACCTAAATTAATAAACTTAAATTAATAAACAATTAATAAACGCGTACAGCGGTATGTATGTACGCGGTTCTCTACTTGTGTGCATGTAAGTTGCGTTTCTATTCTGTATGCAACTGCTTTTTCATTAACATATATATAATATTTTGTGGGAAGTAAAGAAAAAGACATATAAATAGTAATAATTATCATAATTATATTATACAGATTTATTAAATATATTATTTTAAATAATTGTTCAATATTAGATAAAAATTGTTGATAAAATCGGAGAAAAAATAATATAAAACGAGGTTTTTAAATTATAAAAATTCTCTCGAAATTAAAACAAGATTTATAAGTTTTTGAAAATTTTCAATACCAATAATATATTGTTACGAATATTTTCTTGGATTTTGTGCAATCCTAGTCGCAAATCAATTGCACGAACGGGATGAAATTTCGCAATATTGGATATAAATCGGACAAAGAGAGATGTGAGTTTTAAATTTTTAAATTCTGTCCATAATTAAATGTTTAATCATGTTTAATCTCTCATGCAGAATTTCGTCGATCGGGATCATGTTCGAAGCATTTAGATGTCATGTAGCGACGTTGAAGAAATGTAGTAATAAGTGTAAAAAAAATTTGGTAAATAATAGACAACATATCTTGGTACTTAAATAAAACAACGTGTCAGTTTTCCAATGTGCAATTAACTTAATTTTCTTTATTGCGACTCGAAAACCGTTCTTTATCGTTCGAGACGCTAATTATTATTATTCATTATTGTACTGATTCGTGAAATGCGGCTTACAATTAGAGGCAAGTCTTCGAACGTGATCACTGTAGCATGTCGAAGAAAGAGGAGGGAACCTCTTATTTTCTCTAGATATTTAAACGTCGTCATTTGCGATCTAAGATAATTGCCGATAGAGCATGATTTAGAAAAGATTTGTCTATAGATCTAGATTTGAAAATTAATACAATCGCGAAAATAGAAATCGCCCGAAAGCGAAATTGATTAAGAAGGAGAAAAAAAATATTAGTGATCGATTTAATTGCGCGTTATATTTTATCTCTTCACAATAGGATATTATTATCTTGTCGCACCTATTAAACGTACGTTAAAAAAATTCGCCGTGTTCCTTAAAAATAACATGTAGAACATGCGCTTTTACGCGATCGGAATAACGTTCATTGTTTGTTTGTACAAATTTTAAACAAAAAAACGCGTACTCGTCTGAACATAGTGTATAAGTTATGGCTTCCACATGTATATTTAAAATTATATATATTTTATATTCTATATATTGTTCCACACATAAATATATATATTTATATATTATATTTATTATACAGATATATCTATATATCTTGTATATTTATTATATCTAAATGCGCGCGTAAGGATTATAATTCCTTTGATAAATTGACATGACTCCGCGCGCGCCGTTGCTTTTTAATTATATTTCGTCTTAAAATGTATAATTCATTTGTTGAATTCGTTTTCTATGTTAAAAAATATGATTAATATTAAGGAAGATTTGATGTATGAAATTTTTGTTGGCGATCGATTAATAAAAATTATGTGATTAATATCAATGCGCACGAGATGTATGCATAATTTTTTCTGCAGAAGAGAATATCAAACACGTGGCATCTGATTCACGTGAAAGTATGCTCGTTTATAGACACCTACGAGAGTTACCGTTCGAGAATAAATACGTTGAAAGTACTAAGATATTGACGTGAATGTAATTGCTTCTCACGTAATTAATGAATCTGGACTCGCTAAAATACGCGTCCGTCCTTCTACCGTTGTATCCTCGAACAATTAGAGATTAAAGATTAATTCTTTCATGCGCTAATTACTTGGATAATTGTTTGTCGAAACTACAAATTTAACAATTTTTTACACGACATGAAAATTTTCAAAATTGTCTGCACTATTTCTATAAAGCTACAAAAAAATTATTGTAACAAATTTTATTTTATTTGTAAATTTGAACGGAATTGCGCGCGCACGTTTGCGAAAATTGACATTGCGCATGAAAGGATTAATACGAAGATCTTTCTACACAACGCATAAAAGAGAAATTAATAAAGAGATATAGAATAATTAATGAGAGAGCATGTGTGCAAACTTCAACGTCGGAGACTGTTTTAATATTTTATGAAAGGTACAAGCTACTGTTTAAAAATATCAATGGCAGATTAAGCATCTCTTTTTTTCAATAAAATTGCATATAAATCGAAATGCTAGTTATTCGATCTCATTACATGTAAGACGGAGACAACGTGCGTGCGAAGATTTCTTACATGCATTTATTTCTACCAGCCGCTAAACTATCTCATTGTATATGTCAACTTATTTTGCAAAATAAACTATTGGGCACACGAATAAAAAAGCATTTATTACAGAACATTTTCGTTTGCATTGTATATGTAACTCTATTAATAATGATTAGCATTCAAATTTTATTTGATTTTCTCCCCATTTTTGCAGAAACATGTATTAAATATACATTTATATATATGAAAAGCTGTGAGATATGTAATAACATTATATGCCATAAAATTTTACAATACAATTTTTCTATTAGTATAATACAAGTAATATATTAATAATACATTTTTAATATTTATTTATTTAACGTAATATGAAATTTTAATTGGAATCATATTTGGACATGTAGAGTTAAAAAATAAATATAAATTAAAAGCCTCACAAGTTTTTTCTCATATTTGGTATTATAACATCAAATAAATTAAAGATACTGAAAAATTATGTATGCAATTTTATTATATTTGTGCTTTATATTAAATAATATATTTCTTATTTATATCAAATTATTATGCAAAATTATTAAAAAACAAGAGTGTAGATCGCATATATTTATTTCATGTTTGAAATTATCTTTCTTTCTAATCTAGAAATGTATCCATTATATAAGTTACCATTATTTATTCTAACAGATCTCGAATATTAATTTATAATTTCAGTAATAAAAGATTAAAATCTTTTTCAGGTATCTATCTAATCTGAAAATGTATCCATTATAAGTTACCATTATTTACTCTAGAAGATCTCAAGTATTAATTTATTATTTCGGTAGTAAACGATTAGAATCTTTCTCAGGTAGAATCGGTTGGCTGCATAAACTAGTAGCGGAATAACTGCTTTATCATCCTAGCTTGATCAAGAAGCCAATTGCAAATTTTTTTTATTACAATCGTGTATGTGTGTGTGTGTGTGTGTGTTCGTGGAATAATGAATACTAGCATAAATCTGATACATGTTAGTCCGATGCTCACATAATATAATCATTTAATTAAACCATCTACACTAAATTAACAAGTAATTAGGCAATAATTTTCTAAGTATCTGACGCGCCGTTAAAGCCAACAATTATGATATTTCATCAGAGCTGCGTATTAAATTTTCATGTTATATTATAGAACTTATACACGTGCACACACACGACTAATCATACAGCATGAAAATTTCGCGCGTTCATACATATAAATCATTTATTACAATTATACTATACACAATAGACAGTATAATGTCAAGTTCGAGGCAAGTCAAATTTCAAAGTTGATATTTATCTTTTCGTTACTTTTGTCTTTCAGGTCATCCACGTGCAGATTAATAATTGTTTGATAAAGTATTGTTTATTACAGTAGACATGGAGAGTCTATTGTTGAGAGAAATGCGCGCGAGTGGGAGGCATTTCATTTGATATAACTGCCACCAAGGCTGCATTGTGTATTTT